CCAATGGCGTTTGTTAGCAACCAGAAAATGACACCAGTAATGACAAACAGATGAGAATGCTGCGTGGGGTCTGGGTGCGGTGTTGGCGGGACGTTGCTCTCTGCTCCGCTCCGCTCCGCCCTTTGAGGCTTGAGGAGCGACAGTGTGAGCTGTATTACTGGTGTCGTTTCCTGGTCGCTGCATGGGGTCTGCGAGACAAATAATATTTATTCAATTCCAATAAATCTACCCAGAAAAAGTGTGAATGGATTTATTGAAATATAATCATTTTGATTTCATACAGCACTGTTGAGTCTGATTACACTTTATGTGTTACTGTTTTCACTCCTCAAACCATATTGGGATTAGAAGCAGTGATCATTTGTTATATGTAACAGAGTCACAAAGACAAAAAAAACAAAAGCATTTTAAAATCCATTGTTACAAAATCACCAGTGTCCCAAGTTATACATAAACTACTTTAAATTAAAAAAAAGCAAGACAGAGTAAAAGTATACTGTTTTTTAAATTACTTCTCTTGTAACATGTTAAATATATTAAAGTTATGTTATACTAATAACAAAGCTTTATCTATTCATTCCTTGTTTGTCATATTAAGACATCATATAAATATATTTATATATATACAATTGCAATAATAAATATGTCTGTTATCAGAATTCCTGACGTGTCAATTAATATCAAAACAAGCAGGACCTCTTTACTTTAGCATTGGATCAAATTATCCGGTGTAAAAGTGTTATCTATCTAAATCACAAAGTATTAATATTAAAAGTATAATCGGCAGGACACAAAAAAAAAATGTGATCTAGTATACAAGATCTTCACTGTTTAAATAAATAAATAATATATATAGGCTAGATAGATACATTTATAATCACTATTCCCTTTTAGCATTTTGTCTTAATAAGTCCTCTTGCATTCTGTGATACCCACCAAAAAGTGCTTTGTAGATATCCTTTATCCAAAAGTTGTGTTATTCTCTACATGTCTACTCTAGTCATCATAGTTTTTGTCAGGGTTGTATGGGCCCGTTTCTCAGCGACTCTGACCATTCCTAGTTTCTGGAAAGATCACAGATACATTTGAAAATACAACACTGATTTTCATACAATACTACATTCATATTCAATGGGTTTATCATAAAAAGGGATGTGCGTTAACTGTACCTCTGTTTGTTGTTTCAGATTATTAGCGTGTGGAGAGCTGTGAGCAATAAGAGGAGGATTAAATCCCTGTTTGCTCAGCAGCCAGTAAGTCTTGTGAGATCCTTTACCCTGTCATGGACCCAAACACACTGGTTAAAAACATAGGATTCACATGCTATTGGAGAAATATTACGACTCTAGTCACCTTCATTTCTATTGCTCCTCTTTCTTCCAGCTCAAACGAACCAGCCTGGAACAGAATGTCAGCAGTGCACTGAGATATGTGAATCTTCAGGGCTGTAAAACATACAGAAGAGAGTGACACACATCTTAAAAAGTACACTTTTAAGATACAAAAATATAGACATTTTAAAAGTTAATTTCAAGTCAAATGTCTGTGACTAACAAGACTATGCTAATGTTGGCATATTCTTGTTATGTTAGCATGGTCTTGTTAGTCTGGTGTTTTCCCGGTTTAGCAGGCCTTTTAGCATGCTAATATTAGCTGATACATTTTTGGAGATATGCAGTGACAAACCAACCAATTGTTTGACTTGATGCTGCTATAAGAAAAGTCAAAGGATCAATAGACTCATAATGAGTCATCTTTTTGCACATTAATAACAGACAACTTTGTATATTTGCATCTGCGAAGGTGAGACTTCAGTTCACTCACGTAGGCTGTTGCTTTCCATGCGAGACGCAGTGTTCACCGTGTCGCCAAAGAGACAGTAGCGTGGCATAGTGGTGCCTACCACTCCAGCAACCACTGGACCTACAACAAGGTTCTTGTATTTATGGGCTCAAAATTATCCAAATGTCAATTATATTATGTAAAAACAGATGCCAAGTGTATAGGACAACAATTTAATTAAAAGGAAACGTAAATCCTGCATACTGTTGGTTGATTGTAAGAACTACATGTCTCTTACCAGAATGTATACCAATGCGGATTGCAAGCGTCTCATTGGGCATATGGTGGATTTTGAAGACTTTGATGGCTCCCAGGAAATGCAAAGCCATTGTAGATATCTCCAAAGCGTGCTGATTGCCATTGCTGATGGGTAGACCACTGGCTACCATGTATGCATCACCAATTGTTTCCACCTATAGCAAAGATGATAGTCTCAGTGGAATTAACAATAGAAAGCTGTTCCCTGCTAAAGAACCAATGTGCAATTTAATGAAAAAAAATCTACATTTCATAGTAATAGTTATTGGGTAACATGCTTGATTGCCTTCTTGCTGAGACAAAGAGGATCAAAACCACTCATATTTCCGCGGTAAATGTGAAGCTACAGTTTAGTTTAGTTTTATAATGAACTAGAATGTGTTGGTGTCAATATAACATATTTATGTCAGGGAAGATGTACAAAAATACATTGAAGGAGCTCCTATCATGCGAAATGCACTTTTTCATGTCTTTAATACATAGATATGTGTCCCCGGTGTGTAAGGCAACTCTCAAAGTGTCAGAAAACAAAACCCTCTCTCTTTTCCTGCTTACCCAAATCTCTAAAAACGGGGATACAACGGAGCTGATCCAGATTTGCAGCCAATATTACGTAATATCAGAAATGTGGGCTGGCTTTATGTCCACGGCCCTATCAGAAACGTCGCTATCAGAAACAATGCGCAACGTGTTTTGGAAGTAATATGGTCTTTATTTACATGAGCAAACATCGCTAACACTCAGAGCTGACACTGTACTGGAGAGAGTATGTGTAAAAAAGCAGGATAAAAAAAGGTACTCGGCCACCTTGTGGTAAACCCGCAAGAAAAAAAGCATTTGAGATCCATACTGTTTCAGAAATAATCCTTGATGTGGTTTTGAACATGATATGGCGTTTAATCACGGCAGCATTTAGCTGACAATCTCTCGGTAGAATTCTCCTGTATAAGCTCCCCTAGAATGGGTGATCTGTTTGGTATTTTGAGCAAAACACTTCATAGACATGTTTTTTATATATTTTTATATCTGAGACTTTAATATATGCCTTAAAATAGTATAATAAGAGACCTTTAATAAAAATAAAAGATGCTTTGTTCTAGATTTAGCTAGCTTACTCTGTTGCATCTCCCTGGCACGCCTTAATTACAATGTTGATGCAATTTTTTTTCCACAAATAGATACATAAATAGGGTAGGTGACGTCACAGAGACTAAAGCATTATTCATACAGTATTTGATTTCACCAGGCCAGCTGGGTTCACCTGTTTCCAGTCTTTGTGCTAAGCCAGGCTAACCAGCTGGTAGCTATGCCTTCATTTTTGCAGAACAAAAATCGATTATGTTAATTTCCCCCCAAAGAATAAAACATATTTTTGCTTAAAGCATATAACTTCAGCATATCATTTAGACAGCAGGTCACAGAGCCAACACTTTATGAGTTTTCTTCTTCACTGAATGCATACAGCTGAATGGGGAACTAAAAGTGCTTTGCATGACTTACTTTATAGACATCGTACAGCTTGATGACATCATCAAAGAGGCTGTAGAGGTCATTGAGGAACGTCACCACCTCCATCGCAGAGCTGACGGAGCACATTGAAGTGAAGCCCACGATGTCGGAGAAGAAGACGGTAACCATGCTGTAGCTCTGTGGCTCCACCGACTTCCCCGCCATCAACTGATCGGCGATGATCCTGCCATCAAAGAAGCACCAGCACTGAGAAGGTGAGGGATGGACGTCCATTTAACTTTTGTCATGTGATTCAAATGTATCATTTTGATATGTTACCTTGGTAACATGGTGGAGAGAAGCTTATCTGCACGGATCTTCTCCGCCGTGAGCTGATCGGTCCTCTCCTCCACCACCTCCTCCAAGTGATTTGCATATTTCTCCAACTTTTCCACCATACTATCCAGTATATTCGCATGACTACAGTACAGGAAATAATTACAATCCTTTAAGGAATTTTCAGGTTCAGTTTGTTCGTTTGTGATTCATTTTTTTCAATATTCATTCTCATTTAAAAAAATATTGACATAAGCAGATGGGCATTTTAACCATGTTTGCTATTGAGTCCTTGAAGGAGAATTTACCTGAAAAAAAAAATGTTTAGCTTACGTGTAGCACTATTTATTTATTGTACTAGATTTTTTGGCTGTGATTTGCAGTGTTGGGATTGTCGGCCACAGAGGTATTTCTGTTCACTGAAATATAATGGAACTGGAAAGCACTCTAAATAAATGTTCTCATAAACAATGGATGGATTATCTTGAGTAAAGAGGTAATCAATTCCTGAAAAAGACATTGCTGTTGAGTGTTTTAAAATGTGCTTTGTCGTTTTATGCACCACAAGCCGATAGCCATCTAGTTCCATTATATAACAGAGAAGAAAGATAACCATGGCCGATATCTCCAACGCTTGGCTACTCACACCTAAACAATCTAGATAGATAAAAACACTACAGGTTTAAGAACAATATATGCACTACCATCAGTTAAAGCATTGCACATGTATTCAGTCACTACAGTTATTTTGAAGCAGAAAAACCAAGTATATCCAAGGTCGACATATTACATACGGCAGACAGGGATAACCTTTTATTTTCTCACAGCCTTTTGGAAAGTATAAGGTAAGACGAAAAAGGTGTGTGTGTGGCCTGACCTTTCTGGGCTTATGTTCCTCAGCTCTCTCCGTATAGATGAAAACGGCGGTCGGCGGTCAGGGTTCTCATTCCAGCAGGCTTTCAGCACTACGTTTATTTTTTCATCACACAGCATATCACAGAGTACTGGGCGGAGGGGTTCCCCTTGGAAAGGCGTCCGCAACTGCATAATAATCTCTGAAGAAAAAAGGTAAAAATTGGAATCATCGTAGTGTTTGAATTTGAAAATGAATTGATATGCTTTTATCATGGTGACCTTTGGGCTCCAGGTTGATGTCCTGATAAGGGCCAGACTTAGCATTGTACATGAGCTCCCACATGATGATGGCAAAGCTGTAGATGTCAGCTTTGGGCGTCCCATTGACCTGAAGACCGAGATGTCTCATAAGCTCGGGGGCTGTCCAGTAAATCTCTACAAAAAAACAAATCTCCTTGCATGTGTTACCTCCCTTTTATGATGTGTTCAATGAAGTTAAAAACGTAAAATATGATTACTATGCATTAGAGTGCACCCACTGACCTTCATGAACAGGATTTTCCAGTGGGACAAACTTCTTTTGGTTCCCGTATTTAAACTCCCACAGGCCAAAGCCAGTGAGTTTGACCTGGAGTCGACTGTCCACCAGACATGTGCTGGGCTTCAGGTTCCCATGAAATTTCAGGTTACTTTTGTGAATAAACTCCATACCCTATAACCCAGATAAACAGATTCAAGTGATGCATTTTCGGTACAAATAAAAAACAACCTGTTTACATTTCAATGAATTGTCTCACATTGACAATGTCGTAAGCAAAAGACAGCTTGAACATCGTATCCAGGTCAACATCTGACTTCATAAGATCCTGCAGAAATCAGGGAAGTTAAATATATAATACACAATAACAATCACAGGGTCACTAAAGACACAAATGCAATATTGAGTTACCCAGGCTTGTTGTTGCTCACTTTTGTCATGTGTAAAACAATGCTGATATGAAAGTCATAATCACATAGTACGCCTTATGTTAGTTTAAATCAAGCTGGAGTAGATTATAAATATTTGAAATAATTTTAGCGCTGGTAAATAACCAAAAGTATTAAACAGAATAAGACAACCCCTTGTTATACTGTAGGTGATTTTCTACCCTTTGGGTTAATCCAGTATGGCTTTGGCTCTATATTGACTAACATTAACTAAGATAAATGGGGCAGCTTTAATGTTCCAGTTCTGCTGTGATGTAAAGTATGAAATAGAAGTGTGTACACTGACCTTCAGACTGCCTTTCCTGCAATACTGGATGATCAAACAGACATTGGGTGACACGATGCAAACACCAAAGAACTGAACCAAGTTCTCATGTTTCATCTCTTTCATCTGTCTTAAAGAGTTTTACACGGGTTAGGCACAGTATGGAATTATCAGGGCTACTAATGTGTCCTAAAGAAAAGCATTTCAGCATTAAAAGGTTAACACATGTTCTGTAGAGAAATAAGATAAATATGTTTCTTTTTTCGCCTAAACACTAGTTATTACTTGTTATAGAAAAAATTAGTATTTTTGATCCAGGACAACATGAGTAACTTTACCGTATTGAACTCTGCGATTATTGAAGGTTTCCCGAAATGCGAGCTAATGTTGTTCTTGAGGTACTTGATGGCCACTTGATTTCCCTACATGGAATTACATTACATACATTAAGGAAATCACATATATTAAGCAAACGGTCACAGTACATTACATTACATTACATTGCATTTAGCTGACGCTTTTATCCAAAGCGACTTACAATAAGTGCATTCGACCAGGAAGATACAACCTTGAAGAAAACAGAAGCATATAAGTACATCAGGTTTCATAGAGCCAAACATTTCAAGTGCTACTCAACTGGCTTTAGAAAAGCCAGCTCTTTATTAGTATATAAGTGCTTTGTTAGTAATTCAATCGCTCAAAGTGGAGTCTAAAGAGATGAGTTTTCAGTCGTCGCCGGAAGATGTGTAAGCTTTCTGCTGTCCTGATTTCAATGGGGAGCTCATTCCACCATTTTGGAGCCAGAATAGCAAACCCACGTGTTTTTGCTGATGGGAACTTGGGTCCCCCTCGCAGTGCGGGTGCAGCGAGCTGTTTGGCTGATGCAGAGCGGAGTGCACGTGCTGGGGTGTACGGTTTAACCATGTCCTGGATGTAGGAAGGGCCAGATCCATTCGCAGCATGGTACGCAAGTACCAGTGTCTTGAAGTGGATTCTAGCAGTTACTGGAAGCCAGTGAAGGGAACGGAGGAGCGGCGTGGTGTGGGAGAATTTTGGAAGGTTGAAGACCAG